CTACAATAAATTACATTCTAACACGGACTTCTGCTCATCCCGGAACACGCCGTCTATCGAAGCAGCCCACTCTAGATCCGCTGCTCCCTCCGGTGCTTCTCCCTGGAATCAAACACAAGAGAAAGTTTGAGTTTGTGAGATGAGAAAAACAAACCAGATATGGCTTAATTTTATATTTATTTTTATATTTTTATATCTTATGCTGTTTTCTATTTTCTTTTGTGCCTGTGAAGGACTCTGGCCAGCTGCTGTTGTTGTAAATGCACTATACGAAAAAAGATGATGTTGACGTTGAATTTAAAAGCTACTTGGTCAATCAGATGGCCCTGTTTCCACCAGCCCTACTCTACTCTACTCTACTCAATCTTTGTCAGTTAGAACATTTCAGCACCAGCTCGGCCTGGATAGAACCAGAGTCAAGCAGGTACTAAAGTAGAGTAGAGTAGAGTAGAGTAGAGTAGAGTAGGGCTGGTGGAAACACGGCTTTGGTCATTTTAAAATAACCTTATAAAGTCTTAGCTACTAGACCACGACATGTTCAAATTAATATAGAAAGTTACATTATTCCGTGGGATCCCCCAGGGCTCTGTAGTGGGGCCTAAACTATTTGTTTTTTATCAAAATGACAGTTTTGCAGACATAAATATGTTAATTTAAGAGGTGGAAATACAGTTAAACCCCATTGAAATTGCTATTCTCTTATTTAAGGGATTCCTGGTTTGGATTAAAGCTGGAGTACCTGACTTTGAAACCACTAAATAAGGTTGTATTGCTTTTTTACACATCGTATTTTCAGCCTCTGTCACATCTGAAGGCCATTTCTCATCCCAAGCTGCAAATAGTGGCTCAGGTAAAATGACGTTCTTTCCATTCGCATTTCTGTGTTTGCAGCTGGTCTTTTTCAAATTTGCTACAAAAAAAAGAAATCTACACCTCCCTCTGGTGGTGGCATAGAGATAGAGCAGGGTGATAGCACTATTTACCCATGACACTTGTTTTGTCAAATATGTGTTACTGATATTGATTCACAGTTCAAAGTAAAAAGTCCCATTGTTTTTTTTCTCTGGCTCGTCTAACCATCTCGCACTATCCCCCTCCTCAGGGTTTCTCACTTTTTAAAACTTTTTTATTTTGTAGTTTCTAGCTGATGAAGCGGGGTCCAATGGGTCCTTTGTGTTTGTTATTACTGCATTTATGGCGAAAATGATGCATACTCTAAAGCTAGAGATTTTATACTAGCTTCTTTATTATGCTAAAGCTAGAGGTTCTGTAACTTGTGATAAAACCTTGAAATTTCCCCTCTGTTGTACCAACTTAAAGCATCTCTTCATCTTAATATCACTTCTCCTTTAACCTGCCGCTGCACACGTCTCCATTACACAACAAGAGGCCGTTTCCAAACCCCACTTCCTGTCGTAGCGATGCCGTAATCTTTAGCGATGATGTAATGCTAGCTGTTCCCCGGTTAAGGCCGTGTTCCGGTGGTGACTCGCTCCTTGATCCCAACAGGAAGACGTCTGTTGTTGTTGTTGTCGTTTGGGATGGTTGAGTAAAGTGTGTTGCGTAACGTCTCATTCCAGCGTAAAGGTTCATTCATAAAAACAGCCCTGTGATTGTTGATTTGTGGAGCTCTAAGACTTTAATCTCAGGCTTTGGAGCGGTCTGGTACGATACACGCTCACTCACACGCAGCCTCGGCCTCCGTTAGCAACACACCTCCACCTATGTTAAAGGTTTCTTATATGTGTGCAGCAGGAGAGAGACCAGAGAGAGAGAGAGAGACTAGAGAGAGAGAGACCAGAGAGAGAGAGAGAGCAGATGAACTAGAGAGAGAGACCAGAGAAACTAGAGAGAGCCCAGAGAGAGAGAGAGAGAGAGAGAGACCAGAGTATCTAGAGAGAGACCTGAGAGAGAAAGAGACTAGAGACGCCAGAGAAACTAGAGAGAGAGAGCAGAGAGGGAGAGAGAGGGAGCAGAAAAGGAGAGATAGAGACTAGAGAGAGAGAGAGAGTTAGAGAGAGACTAGCGAGAGAGCAGAAAGAGAGCAGTGAAAGACCAGATACAATGACATGAGAGAGAGACACCAGAGAGAGAAAGAGAGAGACCAGAGAGAGAGAGAGAGATACTGGACAAGACTATAGACGGACTAGAGAGAGACAAGAGAGAGACCAGAGAGTAACCAAAGAGAGAGAGAGAGACCAAAGAGAGACCAGAGAGAGACCAGAGAAGGAGCAGAGAGAGACAATAGAGAGACCAGCGAAAGACCAGAGAGTAACCAAAGAGAGAGAGACCAGAGAGAGACCAGAGAGAGACCAGAGAGAGACCAGAGAAGGAGCAGAGAGAGACTAAAGAGAGACCATAGAGAGACCAGAGAGAGACCAGAGAGACTAAAGAGAGACCAGAGAGTAACCAAAGAGAGAGAGAGAGAGAGAGAGAGAGACCAAAGAGAGACCAGAGAGAGACCAGAGAGAGACTAAAGAGAGACCATAGAGAGACCAGAGAGAGAGAGACTAAAGGGAGACTAGAGAGAGAGACCAAAGAGAGACCAGAGAGACCAAAGAGAGACCAGAGAGAGACCAGAGAGACTAAAGAGAGACCAGAGAGACCCTAAAGAGAGACTAAAGAGAGACCAGAGAGACACCAGAGAGACCAGAGAGAGACCAGAGAGACCAGAGCCTTTCTCATGTTTTCTGCAGTATTCTCTTGTATTGAATGGTGCTGTAGTTAACTCTGCTCATGCTAATGTGTGTAACAAGGTCAAACATGAAAAAAAGAGAAACCCAAACCTGTTCTAACGTGACACCATCAGACGACGGCTTCACTGGGGACTTTCTGGAGTTTCTCTTGTTCTTTCAGAGTTCCACTGCTTCCAAGATACGACGCCAGGAAGTTCTTATGGGAGCGGTAACTACAAAGAGAGAGCACACAAAGGCCGAACAATCTTTATCATCAGGTCACTCTTGTGCAGGACTTTCCCCATTGACGCTTCGCTGTTTTGACCGAGAAGAAAGGAGATCTAATCTGTGTGGATTTTTTAGTTTTAAAAAAGGTCGAGAAAAGAACGTACACAATATTTCCATTTATAGGATCAAGAAAAAAGTGTGTTGAAAATGAAGTAGCTTTATGTCATACTGTAGTTTAGCCCAAAGTTGTTCACAGCTAATAAAATGCTAAATAGCGTATGATTTATGGTGAATTCGCTCTTAATTTGGTATTTATTAAGCACTCATTAGTCCAGAGACAGAGCACAGATAGACCAGAGGAGAGACCAGAGAAGAGAGCCGAGAGAGACCAGAGAGAGACCAGAGAGAGAGCAGAGAGAGAGCAGAGAGAGACCAGAGAGAGACCAGAGAGAGAGACCAGAGAGAGACCAGAGAAGAGAGCCGAGAGAGACCAGAGAGAGACCAGAGAGAGAGACCAGAGAGAGACCAGAGAGAGAGCAGAGAGAGACCAGAGAGAGACCAGAGAGAGCATAGAGAGACCAGAGAGAGAGCAGAGAGAGACCAGAGAGAGACCAGAGAGAGACCAGAGAGAGAGCAGAGAGAGACCAGAGAGAGACCAGAGAGAGAGCAGAGAGAGACCAGAGAGAGACCAGAGAGAGACTAGAGAGAGACCAGAGAGAAGAGACCAGAGAGAAGGGACCAGAGCGAGACCAGAGAAAGACCAGAGATTGACTAGTGAGAGACCAGAGAAAGACCAGAGAGATACCAGACCAAGAGACACAGAGAGACACCAGAGAGACACTAGAGAGAGAGAGACCAGAGAGAGACCAGAGAGAATCAAAGAGAGAAAGTGTGTCGAAACTCAGGCTTGTGTAAAAATTCCTGACTTTATGACACGTCTATCGCGTTATTGACTTTTGCTCCAATCACAGACACTGATTTACGATCCAGTCACACGGCGCTAACAGCACCGGGTCACGGCAGGAGAGAGCGGATGTTTTCATGTCAGGCCCACAGTTATGAAACCATTAGAACTCGATCAAACGGTCCAGGGCAGTCTTTGTGACGGCTGGGCGTGTCCGAAGGCGTGTCCGGGGGTGCGGCCTCGCTTTGATCTGCTTCCAGGTTCGATCGTTCATCTTTTTTATTGCTAATGTTAACGTTTAAAAGGATTTACATGGTGCGGAGAAGAGTAGAGCAGAGTAGAGCAGAGTAGAGCAGAGTAGAGTAGAGTAGAGTAGAGCAAAGTAGAGCAGAGCAGAGCAGAGTAGAGTAGAGCAGAGCAGAGTAGAGTAGAGTAGAGTAGAGTAGAGTAGAGTAGAGCAAAGTAGAGCAGAGCAGAGCAGAGTAGAGTAGAGTAGAGCAGAGGAGAGTACAGCAGAGTAGAGTAGAGCAGAGCAGAGCAGAGTAGAGTAGAGTAGAGTAGAGTAGAGTAGAGTAGAGTAGAGTAGAGTAGAGTAGAGTAGAGTAGAGTAGAGTAGAGTAGAGCAGAGCAGAGCAGAGCAGAGCAGAGTAGAGTAGAGTAGAGTAGAGTATAGCAGAGCAGAGCAGAGCAGAGTAGAGTAGAGTAGAGTAGAGTAGAGTAGAGTAGAGTAGAGTAGAGCAGAGCAGAGCAGAGCAGAGCAGAGTAGAGTAGAGTAGAGTAGAGTAGAGTAGAGTAGAGTAGAGCAGAGTAGAGTAGAGTAGAGTAGAGTAGAGTAGAGTAGAGTAGAGCAGAGGCCACATTAGAATCAGGGCCAGTAGAGTTTCTTTCTTATCTCTCTTCATCCAAAACTTCAGGGAAATTCCTCGATGATCACTGCCATAAATGTCATAATGAAACTACTAAAGCTCGGGTACTTAACTTCTATGGTCTGTGCTTTGCTTCTGTCACTATGGTTTTCACCTGTATTTATCTCTGTCCTCTGTCTCATCTTTAGACCAGCTTTTTCAGACAGACATGTGACAAAGAGAGAGGACCAGTCTCACTCGGCCAATCAGCTCTCAGCCCAAAGAGTCCAATAGTGACTCACAGGGCTCTCTCTCTCTGAAGTTTACATGAGTATGGAAGGATGAAGGATTTTTCTTTGGGAATTTACAAAACAAACCATTTATGAGGCAAAACTTATAGAAACCTCATGTGAAGTGTAAGATAAGTAAAAGTATAAAGTATGAAGTACACTACAGAAAATGAAGAAATATGAGGTTATAAATGCTTTGTATCAAATGTTTTTTCAAGGATTTAAGACTTATTTTTCATCACTTTTTGCAGTGTACAGGTACAGGTACAGGTAGAGAGGTGGACTCACTGAGCGCAGGTGAGCAGGACGATGGCCGTGCAGCTGAGGACAGAGAGAACCACCGCGATGACCACTAACACGGTCTGGACCAGCTCGGCACGGCTCTGGTCCTCAGAGGGCAGTTTGGTCTCCAGGGTCTGGATCCCACAGCGGAGCCCCACGTACCCCTTCATACAACTGCAAACACACAAACACACAACACGCAGACACACAACGCGCAGACACACAACACGCAGACACACAACACGCAGACACACAACACGCAGACACACAACATGCAAACACACACATTAACATTTATTCAAATTTGAGCGGTTTTTGTAATCACTTCAATCAATTTTTGCAGTGTGTACAGGACAGTGGATGACAACTATTGATCTATTTCCTGTGAGACCAGAGAGAGACCAGAGAGATCAGAGAGAGACCAGAGAGAGACCAGAGAGAGACCAGAGAGAGACAAGAGAGACCAGGGAGAGAGCAGACAGAGAGCAGAGAGAGACCTGAGAGAGACCAGAGAGAGACCTGAGAGAGAGAGCAGACAGAGACCAGAGAGAGACCTGAGAGACAGCAGAGAGAGACCTGAGAGAGACCAGAGAGAGACCTGAGAGAGACCAGAGAGAGACCAGAGAGAGACAAGAGAGAGCCCAGAGAGAGACCAGAGAGAGATCAGAGAGAGACCAGAGAGAGATCAGAAAGAGACCAGGGAGAGACCAGAGAGACCAGGGAGAGAGCAGACAGAGAGCAGAGAGAGACCTGAGAGAGACCAGAGAGAGACCTGAGAGAGAGAGCAGACAGAGACCAGAGAGAGACCTGAGAGACAGCAGAGAGAGACCTGAGAGAGACCAGAGAGAGACCTGAGAGAGACCAGAGAGAGACCTGAGAGAGACCTGAGAGACACCAGAGAGAGACCAGAGAGAGACCTGAGAGGGACCAGGGAAAGACCAGAGAGAGACCAGAGAGAACAGGGAGAGACCAGAGAGAGACAGAGCTATTTCCAGTCTCCTACAGTCGCTGTTTATCTCCTTTTTAATCGCTTCTGTGTCTGAGAAAATGTTGCCAATAAACCTCATTCTTTTTTTTTTTTTTTGCCATTCTGAACAAATAGACGACTAGAACGAGCCAGACTCTGCCTCGGAGCCACTCACATGCAGACGGGCTCGTGCAGACCCTCCAGGTAGTGGCAGTGGCCGTGGATGCAGAAGTCCAGGTGGGAGGAGGAGCAGGGGTCTTCTGTGGTGGAGGAGGAAGAGGAGGAGGAGGCCGACGTGTAGCCGCTGGTGTGGTAGGTTTTCTCCGTGTGCTCCGGGTTGATGGCCGTGGTGCTTTTGACTCTGTGGCGGTTCTTCCTCTTGCCTTTTCCCTTCTTTTTCTTCTTCTCGTTCTCGTCTTTCTGTTGGCTGGTGACTGCAGACGGAAAGACACAGACTCAGTTATCTCGTTTATATTTGATCTCTCGGTGCCGTGGATGAAGAGGGTCAGGGTCCAAAGGAAAAATGGTGATTGAGGTCTGGTCATGTTGAGTTCAGGGCTATAGTCTACTGTGCTCCAGGCAGATACATGTACAGTATATAACCAGTGCATATATATGGTTCTTTAGATCAATACACTGTAAAAAATAATAATAATAAAAAAGTCTAAAAAATAAGTTTAAAAATGCTTGAATCAGGCCAAATATTTGTGTTGATCTGCGGCCATTTTGTCCTAAAACAAGATTTTCTCCTTCAGAGAGAGCCCTGTGAGTCACTTCAAATGAGATTTTTTTTTTTCCTGTGTCCAGATCTTGTTTTAAGACAAAATAGACAATAATCTAAATGAGAATGTTGGATTTAAGCGTTCATGTTATATTTATATTATAGATATTTCTGCAGGACTAGAAAGAGAGAGACTTAGAGAGGGACCAGGGAGAGATGACAGAGAGAGAGACTACAGAGGGACCAGAGAGAGAGACCATGAGAGAGAGTCCAGAGAAACACCAGGGAGAGATACCAAAGAGATAGACCAGAGAGAGACCACAGAGACTAGAGAGAAAGACCAGAGAGAGACTATAGAGAGACCAGACAGGGAGACCAGAGAGAGACCACAGAGACTAGAGAGAAAGACCAGAGAGAGACCACACAGAAAGACCAGAGAGAGACTATAGAGAGACCAGACAGGGAGACCAGAGAGAGACCAGAGGGAGACCAGAGAGACCAGAGAGAGACCAGAGAGACCAGAGAGAGACCAGAGAGAGAGACCAGCAAGGAGATCAGAGAGAGACCAGAGAGAGAGACCAGAGAGAGAGAGACCAGAGAGAGAGACCAGAGAGAGACCAGAGAGAGAGACCAGAGAGAGAGACTAGAGAGAGACCAGAGAGAGAGACCAGAGAGAGAGACCAGAGAGAGACCAGAGAGAGAGGCCAGAGAGAGACCAGAGAGAGAGACTAGAGAGAGAGACCAGAGAGAGACCAGAGAGAGAGACTAGAGAGAGAGACCAGAGAGAGAGACCAGAAAGAGACGCACAAGAGAGAGATCAAAGAGATAGACCAGAGAAAAGAGGAGATTCCAACATGATTATGCACTACAGCTGTGTGTGTTTCTCTCGTTCACCATGTGGGCTATAGTGAGAAACCCCAGACGGCTCTTCGTCGTGCTCCAGCAGCTCCAGCTCGTCATCGTCGTTGGCGGAAGCCTGGAGACCCTCCCCTGAGGCTGGACCCTCCGTCTGCCCACCCAGGTCTATGGAGAAGCTGGCCCCGGATCCCCACACACAGAGAGCGCTGCACACTACTGCAACACAATCACACACACAAACACACACACAAACACACACAGGGTCAAAGAACAAAGTACACAACAGTTTTGCTTCTTTTTTACAGCTGTGTAAACGACTCTCGGTATCTCAATAAAAGTGAAAATAGAAATGACAGGTTTACAGGAATAGGTTCTGTTTACAAAAAGTTAGAAAGGTTTTGGAATATTGTCACCACTTCTAGACACGTTTGATGGGAAAATATGAGAGAGCTGAGAGAGAGCAGAGAGACCTGAGAGAGAGAGCAGGGAGAGACCAGAAAGAGAGAGCCGAGAAAAAGCGCAGAGAGACTAGATAGATCAGAGAGATCAAAGAGACAACAGAGAGAGAGACCAGAGAGAAAGAGAGAGCAGGGAGAGAGACAAGAAAGAGACCAGAGAAACCTTAGAGAGACCAGTGAGAGAGAGACACCAGAGAAAGAGAGCAGAGAGAGACTAGAAAAAGAGACCAGAGAGAGACCAGAGAGATCAAAGAGACAACAGAGAGAGAGACCAGAGAGAAAGAGAGAGCAGGGAGAGAGAGCGGAGAGAGAGACAAGAAAGAGACCAGAGAAACCTTAGAGAGACCAGAGAGATAGACACACCAGAGAGAGAGAGAGAGAGACTAGAAAAAGAGAGCAGAGAGAGAGACAAGATAGAGATCAGAGAAACCTTAGAGAGACCAGTGAGAGAGAGACACCATAGAAAGAGAGCAGAGAGAGACAAGATACAGAGACCAGAGAGATCAAAGAGACAACAGAGAGAGAGACCAGAGAGAAAGAGAGAGCAGGGAGAGAGAGCAGAGAGAGAGACAAGAAAGAGACCAGAGAAACCTTAGAGAGATCAGAGAGATAGACACACACCAGAGAGAGAGAGAGACTAGAAAAAGAGAGCAGAGAGAGAGACAGATAGAAAGACCAGGGAGAGAGACCAGAGAGATCAAAGAGACAACAGAGAGAGCGAGAAGAGAGAGAGCACAAATACAAGAGAGAGAGACCAACGGGAGACCAGGGAGAGATACTAATGAGACCACAGTTGATACAGAGACCAGAGCGAGCAGAGACACCAGAGAGAGACAAGAGAGAGCAGAGAGACCAGAGAGAGACAAGAGAGAGAGTAGAGAGAGCCACACGATCGCACCTACAACAATAACACTTAAACTACTAAAGCTCGGGTCTCTAACTTTCATGTCAGAACAATTGAACTGTAATCATCCAGCCAGCTCCTCGCTCTAGCTTCCATGACAAGATCTCTGTCTGTATTTTTGTCCTTTGTCACATCCTTAGATCAACTTTTCCAGGCAGAAAAGCAAAAACAAGAGAGCACCCACACTCAGCCAATCAGCTCTCAGCCCAAAGGGTCAAATAGTGACTCACAGGAATCTTTCTCACAAACTATGTCCTTTTTTTCTATTGAGATGAAAACAGCAGGTTGGGGTCTGATTTGTTCATTGACTCTTTCTTTTGAGATGAAATACATGTTATTTGTTAATGTAAAAAGTCAGGTACCCCAGCTTTAATGGATGTTCTCTCCTCTGCATGTGTGTTATCCTGTGTTATCCTGTGTTATCCTGACTGCGGTTTTTTTAAAGGGCTTTGTAAGAAATATAAAGTCTGGTATCTGTATCCACTATGGTTTGATTATTTTCTCTCTTTGGTCTCTCTCTGGTCTCTCTATGGTCTCTCTCTGGTCTCTCTCTGGTCTCTCTCTGGTCTCTCTCTATGGTCTCTCTCTCGCCTCTCTCTGGTCTCTCTATGGTCTCTCTCTGGTCTCTCTCTCGTCTCTCTCTGGTCTCTCTCTGTTCTCTCTCTGGTCTCTCTCTGGTCTCTCTCTCGCCTCTCTCTGGTCTCTCTCTGGTCTCTCTCTGGTCTCTCTCTCGCCTGTCTCTGGTCTTTCTATGGTCTCTCTCTGGTCTCTCTCTGGTCTCTCTCTATGGTCTCTCTCTGGTCTTTCTCTCGCCTCTCTCTGGTCTCTCTCTGTTCTCTCTCTGGTCTCTCTCTGGTCTCTCTCTGGTCTCTCTCTGGTCTCTCTCTGGTCTCTCTCTCGCCTGTCTCTGGTCTTTCTATGGTCTCTCTCTGGTCTCTCTCTCGCCTCTCTCTAGTCTCTCTCTGGTCTCTCTCTCGCCTCTCTCTGGTCTCTCTCTGGTCTCTCTCTGGTCTCTCTCTCTCATTGTTCCCATCATTTTCTCATAAAAGTCTCAAGAAATTGTGACAATTTTCATATTAACGCAACATTAACATACTGACACACAACTATAACCACATGACTTTGACAAAACCCAAAACATGTCAATAAGTTATATTTTTGTGCAATATGTATAATATTTAGAACACATACGTCAAAGTGAGAAGCCCTACCAAGTTGACAAGTCTTTCTAAAGAGATCAAAGCTGAACAATTACTCAACCTTTCTACGACTTTCTTTAGCCCGAGGCCAAATTCTTGAGTAAAAAAAAATGTATTCCCAGACTTGTCTATTCTTGCAGTGTGTGTTTCCCGCTTCAGGACGCACAAAGATGTTCAAATACCAGGTGGGGACCATAAGTGTGGACTTACCATAGGACAGGAGGCAGGTCTGGACCAGAGCGTTCATATCCCAAGTTATGTGTTAGTGTCGGTGAGTCTGCGGCCGCTCTGCTCTCTGCTCCACACCACACCTCACCTTTTATAGCCTCAGAGTGTGTGTGTGTGTGTGTGTGTGTGTGTGTGTGTGTGTGCGTGTGTGTGTGTGTGTGTGTGTGTGTGTGTGTGTGTGTGTGTGTGCGTGTGCGTGTCTGTGAGAATATGTATGAAGGGAGAGTCTACGTGAGGAGGACTAATGTGGAGTTAAATGGTCCAGAGATAAGTGTGAGTGCGTGAACGGCCTCCAGCTAGGGATGTGTGTAATACAACTATGAGAGAGTAGAGAGAGAGAGAGCAGAGAGAGTGAGAGAGAGAGCAGAGAGAGAGCATATAGAGAGAAAGAGAGCAGAGAGAGAGCAGAGAGAGAGAGACTGTAGAGAGAAAGAGAGCAGAGAGAGAGCAGAGAGAGAGTAGAGAGAGGAAGAGACCAGAGAGAGACAGTAGAGAGAACATAGAGGGAGAGAGCAGAGAGAGAGAGTAGAGAGAGCAGAGTAGAGAAAGAGAGCAGAGAGAGAGCAGAAAGAGAGACCAGAGAGAGACAGTAGAGAGAACATAGAGGGAGAGAGCAGAGAGAGAGAGTAGAGAGAGCAGAGTAGAGAAAGAGAGCAGAGAGAGAGCAGAAAGAAAGAGAGCAGAGAGAGAGAGTCGAGAGAGAGACAGTAGAGAAAGAGAGCAGAGAGAGAGTAGAGAGAGAGACTGGGGCACCAGGAGAGAAGCACCAGGAGAGAGGCACCAGGAGAGAAGCACCAGGAGAGAAGCACCAGGAGAGAAGCACCAGGAGAGAAGCACCAGGATAGAAGCACCAGGAGAGAGGCACCAGGAGAGAAGCACCAGGAGAGACCAGGGAATTCCACAGCACATAGAACAGTTGGTTCCATTTCAAAATCCAGGTCAAATATGAAAATGTTTCCTTGTTCTTTCCAGGATTATATAAAAAACCCTAAATTACAGAATAATGTGGAAACTGGATTTGGTAACATCTGGAAACGTCATTATTTCAATATTCACTCATTGCCTGCCAGCCCATTTCAGAACAGGTACTCCCATATTGCCAGCCGTTTCTGATGGTTTTTACTGATTTTTAAAGACACACAGAATATTGTGTACTATGACTATCTGAAATCCGATTCCAGATTCTAAAAGAATGGACTGTCTACTTTCCTCAGCAAAAAGAATTTTGTTTATAGCTTTTGTCGTTCCCCTGTAATCCTCCGTCGAGTAGAGGGAAGTTTTACTGAAATCACCAGAAAGTTGAGAAAAAAGAGGCACAACATGTGAACCTAACTGTTTTCAAACCATTCAGAGAGCAATGCTGCCACCTGCTGGCTCGATAAAATATGGTCTCAAGTCATCCCCATACATATTAGATACAATAGACATCTGGGAACGTGAAAATAGCGAAAAAGGCATTTGACGTATTTATGCGTCAATGGGACACAATGAGTTAAGATTTGCTATGAGACTTGGTTGGCATCTCTGATTGCCACCCCCCTGACCCAGAAATGGATTAAAGGGTAGAAAATGGATGGATGGATGGATGGAGTTAAGATTTTGGATTTTGGATTCAGCAGAAAGGACATGACACCGTTTCAAATGTTTGTGATTCAGAACTTTTAAAGCTTTTGGCCAAAGTTAAAGTTATAATAATAATAATAATAACAATAATAATATAATCAACTTTGTCATGTGATAATCTGTTGTTTGTGCTTGTATATTAAATAAATAAACATTAAATAAATCAAACCTTTCTTTTATTGTCAAAGCAAATTCCTTGTTTGTGAATTACATACAATATAATTTGAATAAGCCCCACCCGTCCCACCACCACCAACCATTCACACACACACCAGACTCATTCTAATGTGGGGGAAGTGTCTTGCCCGAGGATACAACAACAGTTTGGCACTTTACAGCCACAGCCGCCCCACTGTGGCATCTGGCGTTCCCAGAGGTCTCCCATCACAGTACTAACCAGGCCCTGCCCTGCTTAGCTTCAGAACTCTGTTGGGATCTGGCAGTGGAGTGGAGTGGGAAACTCAGAGAATTTACCACTAACTCTAAGATTCTGCTTAGCTTTTATTGCTGCGCCATTGAGAGTTTACTTGTTATTATTATTATTATTATTATTATTATTATTATTATTATCATTATTATTATTATTATTATTATTATTATTATTATTATTATTATTATTATTATTATTATTATTATTATTATTTTATTATTATTATTATTATCATTATTATTATTATTATTATTATTATTATTATTATTATTATTATTATTATTATTATTATTATTATTATCATTATTATTATTATTATTATTTTATTATTTAAAAAATAACAATTGTAAACCGCTTTGTGACTCTGGTCTGTGAAAGGCGGTATAAAAATAAAGCTTACTTACTTACTTAAAGCTTACTTATTATTATTATTATTATTATCATTATTATTATTATTATCATTATTATTATTATTATTATTATCATTATTATTATTATTATTATTGATACTTTCCTCACAGTTGGAAGCTGATTGAAGCTGAATCCAAACAAACACTGATGATTCAATAGGATGACTTCATCAGTGCATGACAGAAGATGTAAGATGTAATTGATCTATTTAAGGAAACGCCGGCTTAAGCTAACGTTGCGACAGTGCGCGGTTAGCCATGACTGCTGGTTCTGTTTTTGTTTTTTCTGTTTACAATGAGCACAGACCTCGGGCGTGGAGGCTTTTTGTTGTGTCTCTGAGCAGAACATTCCCCACACGGACCTTGGCTCTTTCTGCTGAGACCGAGACGTCACATGGTTTTGGACTGAAATAACTCAAACCATGGAATTAAAGGAGACATTTACACATAGATGTTTCCTTTTTATTAAAACGGCGTCAATTGTTTACTGTTTTATTTTATTTCTGTGCTGTTATTTTATTTTATGCGCATTTTATTGAAATTAAACATGTTTTATTCTATTTGTCTATTATATTTTTATTGCATTTTAAGAATACATTTTACCCCCAGTCCCTCCCACGTAAAGTCAGTTTTCTGGGAGAAGTGTGGTACTGGGTCTACAGCCTCAGTCCTGGGTCTACAGTCTCAGTCCTGGGTCTACAGCCTCAGTCCTGGATCTACAGCCTCAGTCCTGGATCTACAGTCTCAGTCCTGGATCTACAGCCTCAGTCCTGGGTCTACAGCCTCAGTCCTGGGTCTACAGCCTCAGTCCTGGGTCTACAGCCTCAGTCCTGGATCTACAGCCTCAGTCCTGGGTCTACAGTCTCAGTCCTGGATCTACAGCCTCAGTCCTGGGTCTACAGCCTCAGTCCTGGGTCTACAGCCTCAGTCCTGGATCTACAACCTCAGTCCTGGATCTACAGCCTCAGTCCTGGGTCTACAGCCTCAGTCCTGGATCTACAACCTCTGTCCTGGATCTACAGCCTCAGTCCTGGGTCTACAGCCTCAGTCCTGGGTCTACAGCCTCAGTCCTGGATCTACAGCCTCAGTCCTGGGTCTACAGTCTCAGTCCTGGGTCTACAGCCTCAGTCCTGGGTCTACAGCCTCAGTCCTGGGTCTACAGCCTCAGTCCTGGGTCTACAGCCTCAGTCCTGGGTCTACAGTCTCAGTCCTGGGTCTACAGCCTCAGTCCTGGGTCTACAGCCCGGTCGTCCTCGTTCTACAACTACAACTACTTATTTCAAGAACTGTTGCTTAATTTTCTCATTCCAAGAGAGACATTTCTGTATATTTTTATTATTATTATTATTATTTTGCTTTGTCCCGTTGGTAAATCTTTAATGCAGTCAGAATGTGAACAAACTAAGACACATTTCGCCAAATTTGAGCCGGACTTATTCTCCGTCACGTTTCGCAGTGTAACGACATTATTGACTGATAGAGATGTATTTCTTCCTCAGACTTTGCTAAACTTTGCCTGTTGCTAAAGTGATGTCACATTTCCGGAAGCGTTCTTTATGCTAATCACCGTCGCACTGGTTCTTTTCGTTAATGTTTAAGCCTGGGGCGTTGTTAGCACACAGGAGACGCGTCGGGCTAAGTGGGAGAACGAATGCAAGCTCAGGCTAATGCTAGTCATTAGCATTCATAGCAACGATTTAGCATCCGTGACAAAACTGTGCTATTTTAAACTTCATCATCACTTTACAGCATTCCGCCTCGTCACAAACGTTCCTGTACTTGTTCCGTTTAAACTTATTTTAGAAACACGTCCCCCCACCCCTTCTGTCTCTATACCCCTTTCTCAAACGCTTTACACTGTGGAAAAATCTGGAGTCATGGACAGTGCCTCTGAATTAGCGTTGGGGATTTCTCTAGTCGATTAAAGCTGAGGTACCTATTTCATCCGTGGGTCCTGCTAACATGATGCTAGGTTTATGTCGCCTAGCAAAGCCACCGTAATACATGTGTGCTATGTTATTGGATTTAGTTTTACTTTTTTTTTTTTTCTGTCTCTTTTTTATTTCTGTTCATTTTATTTTATTTAAATATGTTTGTCCTTTTTCTTTCTTTATTTTCTTATACTTTAAAATACTTTGTATAAAATGTAGAATATAAAAAAATCTCAATAATTGTGTTGACAAAAAAAGGTACAGATTTTCTTTCATCCATAACACGTGTTGTTTGTCCCAACCTGTGGGGGAGGGTTTCGGCTCAAAAGTGGCCAAAATGGCGTACGCTGACATGCTGCAGTACCACCCCGAGCCTGTGGGGGTGGACCCATCGTGGCGGCACGGTGGCTGAGTGGATAGCACTCTTGCCTCTCAGCAAGAAGGTCCTGGGTTCGAATCCCGGTTGGACTAGGGCCTTTCTGAGTGGAGTTTGCATGTTCTCCCCGTGTCTGCGTAGGTTTCCTCCGGGTACTCCGGTTTCCCCTACCACTAAAAATATGTCCAATAGTTCTGGCATGTGCCTCCTGTACTGGCGACCCCGCTCCCATCTCTGTGTGGAGTGAGAGACAAATGCCCAAAATGAACAATTGTAAACCGCTTTGAGACTCAGATCTGCAGTGAAAAGGCGGTATATAAATAAAGATTACTACTATTACTACTACCCAGAAGTAGAATTAGCCAATGCTAACATATAGCGTTAGCAGACCTCTCAAAAACGTCTTTACAGGATGGACCAAAAGTTGGCTCTTGGCCCAAAGCTCTGTTCCACATGTGTGTCAATGCTGAGGGAGTGTTTTGGTCCACTCTAGTTTAGTCGCTGTGAATTTTTGAAGTCTCTCGTTCAAATGAATGGAGCTGCGCCGGCTGACGCATGCACAAATGCGTTTTTTCGCAATTTTCTTGTGGGCGGGACCACTCGCGGCCATTTTGGATAGCTCCAGTAGAGCACATTTTTTGGCCCATTAGTTAGAACGGCGGAGATAGGCGTCACTCTGTCCGTTAAAGCTGCACTAACTGACTTTGGGATTTTGAAGCCGCGGACTCGCTGGCCTGGCTCTTTCTGCTCCCCTCTTCTAGTCACATGATTGAAACCCAGCAATACCTTGAATGAATTTTTTCACAGTTGTATTTTTCCGATTCAAGTTATCATGTGTTTTAAAATAGTAATGGAATTGACCAGATGTCTGTAGTCTCCAAAAATTAACAACAAATATTTTGGAGCGATAAAAATAAACCAATCCCATTGGTTCATCCCCAACGAACCAATGGGATGTGTTTACGGCCGGCACTAGATCATATACGGAATCGGGACAAAACCGGAAGTAACAATCATTTTTCAAATTAGTTTTTGACAAAAAAGTCCGTAAGTGGTGACTGGTTACGTTTAGGCGTCTGAGTAAGGTTAGGGTTAAGGCTGCGTTGTGGTTATTTTATTAACCTGGCAAGAGCCAGATTGATGATTGTGTAGAACTCTAACGCGTTCTCCGCGATATCAATCTGGGATTTCTCCCGGAGAATCCTTTCGGGGAAAGGAGGGATAAGCAGCAGAATACTTGAAGCTGATTGGGCGAAGTGACGCTGTGTGCCCGCCTACACTCTTGCCAAAACCCGTAGGTAAAAATGCACAAACATCTTTGCCGTCCAGAAATGCACAAAGCGCCTCTCGCTGTTCATCTTTCAAAAAAGAAATTGGAGATTCTGCTAAAACTGACTTGATAGCCTCAGCTACGCGTCCGTCCTCCTGCGTAGCCATGTTTGTTTTGCTTCGGCCCGGCACTTCTTGCTTTCGTCAAACCCGGATATCCCGCCCTAAACCCCCAGACTGGCGCGTGATTGGCTCGCACACCCAGTGGGTCGACTCGAAAAGTGTAAGCAGGAGCGGTACAAGATGTATTCTCGAGTGTTTGTGAACTCACAAATACCGCGAGAATTCAGCTTGCAGGCAAGGTTATTATTTTATGGGAATGTCTGGTTAAGTTTATGCATGAATAAGTAGCTTGTTATATTTACTTACTTGTTAGATTCCGTGTATGATCTAGTGCTGACCGTGAGTTTACCCCCTTCACCCTCTCCCTGTTTCTCACGAGTGCGCCGGAGTTATCGGATTTTCTAAAACCTAAAAATGGCTGAACAGAAAATGCCAATTTCACGTTTGGCGCCCACTCTCCCTGTTGCGACAAAGAAAATAAAATGCTGGATGTTTGGTTCGGTGGAGAGGGAGGGGAGGGGGGAGTGGTTTCCAGTTGGTGCTACGGCTAAGCTAACAACATCGCTAACTGCACCTTTAAAGGCTTGCGTCAAAAGTTTGTACGGTGATTTTGTTTTCTATTTTTTTAATTAAAATACTTTGAAATGAATAAACAGTGACTGAAACTCACAGATACAAATATTTAATAATATATAAGGTACTTTTGTCATGGTTAAGTAAAGTATTGTGAACATATAGAACCACAGCTGTCACTGATCTGTTGTTTAAGAAGGAGCCCAACGATTTTACATACAGTAATTTTTTGGTGTGTTTTTTACGTCGTTGTTGTTGTTGTTGGAGGAGGAACAAAGCAGACAAGTCCAGAATTCAGTTTTTATTCACACATTTTGTAAAATTCTTTCTCGAAGATAAAACCCTCTGAAGCATCTGAAGCAGTCGCAGCCGTGACCCTGAGAATCCAAACAACATCAATACAAAAGACCCCAGCGTGAAATAACAAGAATACTTTGGACCATAGACTGTACACAGATGGACGATGCTAACCCGCTACGTAGCTCAACCAAGCCCATAAGGGAAGTGCTCATGGATGAAGTTTGGCTCCATCTCGCTCTGGCTCCTATTGACTTATATGAATGAATGAAAACTTGTATTGCGAGCCATGGCAAACACGAACAAGAACACCAACAAAATAGAAAAGGAAACAATACACGATAATACACAAATACAGTATACACTTCTGTTTTATTGACAAAAATCCAGCTCTCTGTGATCCTGGTGTTTATATTGTGATTATCTTTGTAAATCCAGATACAGTGCCTTGCGAAAGTATTCGGCCCCCTTGAACCTTTCAACATTTTGCCACATTTCAGTCTTCAAACATGAAGATATAAAATTTAAATTTTTTGTCATGAATCAACAACAAGTGGGACACAATCGTGAAGTGGAACGAAATTTATTGGATAATTTAAACTTTAAAAAAAAAAAAAAACTGAAAAGTGCTATATTATTCGGCCCCTTTACTTTCAGTGCAGCAAACTCACTCCAGAAGTTCAGTGAGGATCTTTGAATGATCCAATGTTGTCCTAAATGACTGATGATGATAAATAGAATGCACCTGTGTGTAATCAAGTCTCCGTATAAATGCACCTGCTCTTTGATAGTCTCAGGGTTCTGTTTAAAGCGCAGAGAGAACCATGAAGACAAAGGAACACACCAGGCAGGTCCGAGATACTGTTGTGGAGAAGTTTAAAGCCGGATTTGGATACAAAAAGATCTCCCAAGCTTTAAACATCCCAAGGAGCACTGTGCAAGCAATTATATTGAAATGGAAGGAGTATCAGACCACTGCAAATCTACCAAGACCCGGCCGTCCCTCCAAACTTTCATCTCAAACAAGGAGAAGACTGATCAGAGATGCAGCCAAGAGGCCCATGATCACTCTGGTTGAACTGCAGATAACTACAGCTGAGGTGGGAGAGTCTGTCCATAGGACAACAATCAGTCGTGCACTGCACAAATCTGGCCTTTATGGAAGAGTGGCCATTTCTCAAAGATATCCATAAAAGTGTCTTAAAGTTTGCCACGAGCCACCTGGGAGACACACCAAACATGTGGAAGAAGGTGCTCTGGTCAGATGAAACCAAAATCAAACTTTTTGGCCACAATGCAAAACGATATGTTTGGCGTAAAAGCAACACAGCTCATCACCCTGAACACACCATCCCCACCTCAGCTGTAGTTATCTGCAGTTCATCCAGAGTGATCATGGGCCTCTTGGCTGCATCTCTGATCAGTCTTCTCCTTGTTTGAGATGAAAGTTTGGAGGGACGGCCGGGTCTTGGTAGATTTGCAGTGGTCTGATACTCCTTCCATTTCAATATAATTGCTTGCACAGTGCTCCTTGAGATGTTTAAAGCTTGGGAGATCTTTTTATGTCCAAATCCGGCTTTAAACTTCTCCACAACAGTATCTCGGACCTGCCTGGTGTGTTCCTTTGTCTTCATGGTTCTCTCTGCGCTTTAAACAGAACCCTGAGACTATCAAAGAGCAGGTGCATTTATACGGAGACTTGATTACACACAGGTGCATTCTATTTATCATCATCAGTCATTTAGGACAACATTGGATCATTCAAAGATCCTCACTGAACTTCTGGAGTGAGTTTGCTGCACTGAAAGTAAAGGGGCCAAATAATATTGCACGCCCCACTTTTCAGTTTTTTATTTGTTAAAAAAGTTTAAATTATCCAATAAATTTCATTCCACTTCACGATCGTGTCCCACTTGTTGTTGATTCATGACAAAAATAAAAATGTTATATCTTTATGTTTGAAGACTGAAATATGGCGAAATGTTGAAAGGTTCAAGGGGGCCGAATACTTTCGCAAGGCACTGTATATGCCTTAGCAACCGTCTTAGCAACACGTCTGCCCCTGTTGGCAGTGCAAAGCTAACACCGTGGCTCCAGCTCACTTATGTTCGAATCAGATTTTTCCGGATTGAGGCTAACACTGTGTTGATGTCACACTCGCTCAGTCCACTGCTATTGGCCGTACCTGAAGGTGAAAGCCTGTCACACCTTGTCACTGCACTGACACTGCACTGACACACCTGTCACTGCACTAACCAGGCCCTGCCCCGCTGTGCGGGGCAGGGCCTGGTTAGTGCAGTGATGGGAGACCTCTGGGAACACCAGGTGCCACAGTGGGGCGACTGTACAGTGTCAAACTACCGTTGTGTCCTCTGGCAAGACACTTCCCCCACATTAGAATGAGTCTGGTGTGTGTGTGAATGGTTGGTGGTGGTGGGAGGGGCCGTTGGCACAGACTGGTTGCCTCGCTTCTGTCAGTGTGCCCCAGGGCAGCTGTGGCTACAGTAGTAGTTTATCACCACTGTGTTTGGAGTGAATGAATAACGAGGTCTTTAAGTTTCCAAAAGAGCGCTGTATCAAAACCAATATATTATTATTATTATTATTAGGTAAAATAAAAATAAAATTAATTACATTTACGTTTATCTTTGACCAAAGTTGGACACATATTAAGCTCAATAAATACAAATCAGACAGACAATGAAAAATTAGAAGTAGCAGTAGAAGTAGCAGTTGGTCCATGGATCAGGCGCTCTCTACGGCTGAGTACCTCCGTCCCTTCGGCAGATGTTTCCTTCTGTACCTGTAAATAAAACAGAGCTGAGAGGGAGGGTGCTATCTCTACTTCTCCAAACCATCGAGAACTAGTAAGAGTAGAGTAGAATAGAGCAGAGCAGAGTAAAGTTTTCGTCCCTGGTCCCTGGTCCTTGGTCCTTGGCCCTTGGTCCCTGGTCTGTAGATGTTCGTACCATTTGCAGAAGAAGTAGAGGGCTCCGCCGAGGCCCACACTCAACAGGAAGACAGAGACCACAATGAGTGCCACCTGCTCCTCTTTCATCGGCTTCATGACCAACTGCGGGGCTTCACACCGACTGCCCTGGAACCCCAGCTCACACCTGCACCAGAGAGCACACTGTGAGAGAGCAGAGAGAGAGGAGAGAGACCAGAGAGCGTAAAGAAAGAGCAGAGAGAGACGAGAGAGAGAGACAAGCGAGAGACCAGAGACACTAGAGAGAGAGAGAGGAGCCAGAGAGAGGAGCAAGAGAGAGAGAGGAGCAAGAGAGAGAGCAGAGAGAGACCAAAGAGAGAGAGAGCCGGGAGAGAGAGGAGGGAGACTAGAAAGGGCCGAGAAAGAGAGCAGAAAAGAGAGAGAGCTGAAAGAGAGAGGAGAGACAAGAGAGAGAGTGGGGAGAGACCAGAGAGAGCATTGAAAGCAGAGAGAGAGAGGCAAAAGATAGAGAGACTAGAGCGAGACCAGAGAGAGAGCGTTGAGAGCAGAGAGACCAGACAGAGATCAGAAAAAGAGGGACCAATGAGAGACCAGACACAGACCAGAGAGAGATACGAAAGAGACCAGAATGAGATCAGAGAGAGAGACCACAAAGAGACCAGAGAAAGACAATTTGACTCTCACTTCTACATGTGATTGGTTCTTACTTGCAGTGGTTCACGTTGAGCTCGACCAGAAACACGCACTGTCCATTGTTCAGGCAGTAATGGTCACAGCTGAGGAGAGACCTCTGGGCCACACGGGGGCGCTGTTCTCCTGCTCAACACACACCAGAGACACACAAAGAAACATCAGTGAAGCATTGGAATACTGGTATTACTTATTATCCATCTGACAGTATGCAGATGGTCCCTCTCTGGTCTCTCTCAGGTCTCTCTCAGGTCTCTCTCTGGTCTCTCTCTGGTCTCTCTCTGGTCTCTCTCAGGTCTCTCTCTGGTCTCTGTCTGGCCTCTCTTTGGTCTCTCACTGGTCTCTCTCTCTGGTCTCTCTCTGTTCTCTCTCTCTGGTCTTTCTCTGGTCTTTCTCTAATCTTTATCTGGTCTCTCTCTGGTCTCTCTGTGGCCTATCTCTGGTCTCTCTCTGGTCTCCCTCTGGTCTCTCTCTGGCCTCTCTCTGGTCTCTCTCTGGTCTCTCTCTGGTCTCTCTCTGGTCTCTCTCTGGTCTCTCTCTGGCCTCTCTCTGGTCTCTCTCTGGTCTCTCTCTGTTCTCTCTCTCTGGTCTTTCTCTGGTCTTTCTCTAATCTTTATCTGGTCTCTCTCTGGTCTCTCTGTGGCCTATCTCTGGTCTCTCTCTGGTCTCCCTCTGGTCTCTCTCTGGCCTCTCTCTGGTCTCTCTCCGGTCTCTCTCTGGTCTCTCTCTGGTCTCTCTCTGGTCTCTCTCTGGTCTCTCTCTGGTCTCTCTCTGGTCTCTCTCTCTGGTCTCTCTCCGGTCTCTCTCTGGCCTCTCTCTGGTCTCTCTCTGGTCTCTCTCCGGTCTCTCTCCGGTCTCTCTCTGGTCTCTCTCTGGTCTCTCTCTGGTCTCTCTCTCTGGTCTCTCTTTTTTCTCTCTCTTTGGTCTCTCACTGGTCTCTCTGTTCTCTCTCTCTGGTCTTTCTCTAATCTTTATCTGGTCTCTCTCTGGTCTCTCTGTGGCCTCTCTCTGGTCTCTCTCTGGTCTCCCTCTGGTCTCTCTCTTTTTTCTCTCTCTTTGGTCTCTCACTGGTCTCTCTCTCTGGTCTCTCACTGGTCTCTCTCTCTGGTCTCTCTCTGTTCTCTCTCTCTGGTCTCTCTCTGGTTCTCTCTCTGGTCTCTCTCTCTGGTCTCTCTCTGGTCTCTCTCTGGTCTCTCTCTGGTCTCTCTCTGGTCTCTCTCTGGTCTCTCTCTCTGGTCTCTCTCTGGTCTCTCTCTCTGGTCTCTCTCTGGTCTCTCTCACTGGTCTCTCTCTCTGGTCTCTCTCTGGTCTCTCTCTCTGGTCTCTCTCTGGTCTCTCTCTCTCTGGTCTCTCTCTCTCTCTCTGGTCTCTCTCTGGTCTCTCTCTGATCTCCTCTCTCTTTGGTCTCTCTCTCTGGTCTCTCACTGGTCCCTCTCTGGTCTCCCTCTCTGGTCTCTCTCTTTGGTCTCTCTCTGGTCTCTCTCTGGTCTCTCACTGGTCTCTCTCTGGTCTCTCTCTGGTCTTTCTCTAATCTTTATCTGGTCTCTCTCTGGTCTCTCTCTCTGGTCTCTCTCTGGTCTCTCTCTCTGGTCTCTCTCTGGTCTCTCTCTCAGGTCTCTCTCGGGTCTCTCTCTCTGGTCTCTCTCTGGTCTCTCTCTCTCTCTCGGGTCTCTCTCTCTGGTCTTTCTCTAATCTTTATCTGGTCTCTCTCTGGTCTCTCTCTCTGGTCTCTCTCGGGTCTCTCTCTTTGGTCCCTCTCGGGTCTCTCTCTCTGGTCTTTCTCTTTGGTCTCTCTCGGGTCTCTCTCTCTCTGGTCTCTCTCTCTGGTTACCTGCAGAGATGACATCTGGTGTAGAACTTCTGCTCAGAACCAGGGACCAGAGAAGAGCTTCACCTGAGGAACAGAAAGTGCAACATTAGACCAGAGCAGAAGTGTTGGACCAGAATTAAAGCTGGGGTTCTTTCTTTCATAATTAATACAAGTTTGAGTCTGGTATCAACTAAGACAACAATACTGTTACATTATTAGAAAACAGTATTATATCTTAAGTAAGTCTCTCTTTGGTTTCTTTTTTTGGTCTTTGGTCTCTCTCTGGTCTCTCTCTGATCTCTTTCTGGTCTCTCTGGTCTCTCTCTGATCTCTTTCTGGTATCTCTCTTGTCTCTCTCTCTGGTCTCTCTCTTGTCTCTCTCTTGTCTCTCTCTGGTCTCTCTCTGTTCTCTCTCTGGTATCTCTCTTGTCTCTCTCTCTGGTCTCTCTCTCTGGTCTCTCTCTGGTCTCTCTCTTGTCTCTCTCTGGTCTCTCTCTTGTCTCTCTCTCTGGTCTCTCTCTGGTGGTCTTTCTCTGGTCTCTCTCTATCTCTCTCTCTACTCTCTCTCTTGTCTCTCTCTACTCTCTCTCTTCTCTCTCTCTGGTCTCTCATACTCTACTGATAACAATGCATTTTTACTAGTTGAAACTCACACACCCCAGCTTTAATAATAGCAACACTTAACTCTAAACATTTCCTCTCTCCTCTCTGGAGTCTCTCGGTGATAAAGCCAAAACACATTATACGTGTGGCAGCCTGCAGCGCCTCGGTCGACGCCCACATTCCGACATAGACGAAGGAGCCGGCCATGACTGGTGGAAACAGGGCTATAATCAGGACGCATGACTGTGAATGAGGGCGAGCGGAGGGTAGAGCGGTTGGGTGAGTCTGTGTGTCTGCACCCACCAGAGCGAAACCCACACGTGAGCCACTAACGGGTTTTCTATTATTCACCTCTCAATCATCTCCATGGAGTCGTCAGCACAACACAGACACATCCCGGGGTTTCTCTCAAGACGTATTATAGACATTACTATTTATTTACTGGATAGAGGCAAGTTTTTTTGTATGGCACTGTTAATACACAAGGAAACTCAAACTGCTGAACAAAACAAGGAAAGATAAACATCCTTCAGTTGTTGCAGCGAAACAGAACTGATTTTAACCTGGATTTGAACATCGTCAGAGAAGAAGCCTGTCTCACATTTTCAAGAAGACTGTTCCATATTTTTGCTACCTAAATCTGAAATGCTGCCTCCTCATGTTTAGGCCTGACTCTGGGGTCAGCAGGAGGTCTCTCTCTCTCTGGTCTCTCACTGGTCTCTTTCTGGTCTCTCTCTGGTGTCTCTAACTGGTCTCTCTCTGGTCTCTCTGGTCTCTCTCTGGTCTCTCTCTGGTCTCTCTCTGGTCTCTCTCTGGTCTCTCTCTGGTGTCTCTGGTCTCTCTCTGGTCTCTCTCTGGTCTCTCTCTGGTCTCTCTCTCTCTGGTTTCTCTCTGGTCTCTAACTGGTCTCTCTCTGGTCTCTCTCTGGTCTCTCTCTGGTCTCTCTGGTCTCTCTCTGGTGTCTCTGGTCTCTCTGGTCTTTTCGCTGGTCTCTTTGGTCTCTCTGATCTTTCTCTAGGCTCTCTCTGGTCCCTCTGTTCTCTCACTGGTCTCTCTCTAGTCTCTCTGCTCTCTCTGCTTTCTCTCTGCTCTCTCTCTGGTCCCAGTCCCAGCAGGAGACCAGTCCCTGTGCTCCTCAGATTCTGTTGGTTCATTTTATTTCTGTCCATATTTTAAAAAAATTATTCATTTGCGATCAAAGAGCCAATCAGGAGCAGCGCTGGGCTATTTACCAGAGATCATATACTTGTTTCTTTATTAAGTAACTAAGTAATGTTTATGTTTAAGCAATGGGTAGTAATGTATGTGTTTTTAGTGTTAGGGGACACCCGGAGCATCTGGACGAAACTTACACAGACACGGGGAGAACATGCAAACTCCACTCCAGAACGGCCTGGAGGTGGAGACGAACCCAGGGCCGAGGCAAAAAATGTTATACTTGCTTTTTTATTATGATAAAGTTAGAGATTGGATGTTATTTATTGTTCATTTATGTTGTGCAGTGCTCCTCATGCCACTGTTCTGTAACTGATGATGCAACACTGACATTTCCCCACAATGCATCTCTCTATATTTTGAATGCTGCCTTTCATTTGATAATCTTTGTTCTTAATCAAGTCCTTTTGCAAAACGACTTTATTGTTCCTCTTGTGTAACTCACTCACAGATATCCAAGCCCCACAGACTCCACCTGCGATCTCGAGTTTACACGAGACTGACTGAGACTGACTGAGACTGACTGAGACCGAGGCGGGTCCTAAACGGTGCCAAGGTTCTGCTCTCCTCGGGGTCCGGGATGTGCTCGGGCGAAGTCGACTAAAGTATGTCCTGGTATTTATCTCACACAAAACTTCCACTTGGATCAAATCAATCCCACTCAGCGCAGTGGAAAAATAAACCAGGACGTAAAAGAAGTATGTGTGTGTGCGTGTGAGTGTGTGTGTGTGTGAGTGTGTCTATCTGTGTGTGTGTGTGTGTGAGTGTGTCTATCTGTGTGTGTGTGTGTGTCTGTGTGTGCATGTGTCTATCTGTGTGTGTGTGTGTGTCTGTGTGTGCATGTGTCTATCTGTGTGTCTGTGTGTGCATGTGTCTATCTGTGTGTCTGTGTGTGCATGTGTCTATCTGTGTGTGTGTGTGTGTCTGTGTGTGCATGTGTCTATCTGTGTGTGTGTGTGTGTGTGTGTGTGTGTGTGTGTGTGTGTGTGTGAGAGTGTGAGTGTGTCTATCTGTGTGTGTGTGTCTGTGTGTGTGTGTGTGTGTGTGAGTGTGTGTGCGTCTATCTGTGTGTGTGTCTATCTGTGTGTGTGTGTGTCTATCTGTGCGTGTGTGTGTCTGTCTGTGTGTGTGGGTGTCTCTCACACACACAGTGTGTGTGTCTATCTATGTGTGTGTGTGTCTCTCCTCTACGCTCTCTCTCATCTCTCTCTGCTCTTTCTATTCTCTCCGCTCTCTTTCCTCTCATCTCTCTCTTATCCCCTTTCTCCTCTCTCTCCACTCTCCTCTCTCTCATCTCTCTCCTCTCCACTCTCTCTCCACTCTCTCTCATCTCTCTCCTCTCCACTCTCTCTCCACTCTCTCTCATCTCTCTCCTCTCCCCTCTCTCTAATCTCTTTCCTTTGTCATCTTTCTCCGCTCTCTCTCATCTCCTCTCTCTCCTCTCGCTCCCCTCCTCCTAAAATAAAACCAATAGTTTATTATAACACACATAGAGGGAGCTCAAATAAATGAAGCTCATGCGGACGTTCAGACTGAAAGACCGAGTGCCTGCCAATCTCACAGCGCTGCCAGCCTCGAGCCTCAGCCAATCAAACAGCTCTGCCAGCCCTGAGCCTCAGCCAATCAAACAGCTCTGCCAGCCCTGAGCCTCAGCCAATCAAACAGCCAGGCCAGCCTCGAGCCTCAGCCAATCAAACAGCTCTGCCAGCCTCGAGCCTCAGCCAATCAAACAGCTCTGCCAGCCCTGAGCCTCAGCCAATCAAACAGCCAGGCCAGCCTCGAGCCTCAGCCAATCAAACAGCTCTGCCAGCCCTGAGCCTCAGCCAATCAAACAGCTCTGCCAGCCCTGAGCCTCAGCCAATCAAACAGCCAGGCCAGCCCTGAGCCTCAGCCAATCAAACAGCTCTGCCAGCCCTGAGCCTCAGCCAATCAAACAGCCAGGCCAGCCTCCTGCCAACCCTCTCACAGCACAGCGGGCAGTTTAAAAGGCAGCCACTTCCTGACAAACAGCGCTTCCTGAAAGCTCTAGACACCCACCACCTCCCCATCACCCCCTCTGGCTCCTGCTCTGGCTCCTGCTCTGGCGCTTGCTCTGGCTCCTGCTCTGGCTTCTGCACTGGCTCATGCTCTGGCTCCCGCTCTGGCTCCTGCTCTGGCTCCTGCTCTGGCTTCTACTCTGGCTCAGGCTCTGGCTCTGGCTCCTGCTCTGGCTCCTGCTCTGGCTCCTGCTCTGGCTTCTACTCTGGCTCACGCTCTGGCTCTGGCTCCTGCTCTGGCTTCTACTCTGGCTCACGCTCTGGCTTCTTGTTTTATTTGCGATCTGATACGTATGCTAACATTAGCATTAGCGCAACTTCTTGTAACCTGTACAACAATCACTGATGAAATGGCACTAAAGCAACGCACTGCTGACACAATATATAAGTAAAAGAATACCATTAGTTTCGCGTCCGAATGTATTAATTTAAACATTAGAATATATTCGAATATTTAATTATAATTTATTATACAGTTCCTCACAGCAGCGGCACTTCATTGACTTGAATGCAATTCTTCCGATCATTTTTTCTTGAACTCTCAAACCAATAATGACCGCAGCCCCAATGCAATCTCTGTTTGTAATTCAGGTGTGTAAAATACTAACATTACTCCGCACTTTGAATTTTGAAGTCGAAGCCCTGGTGTGAAGCAGCGCTGTAGAGGCTAGAGGACGCAGGCTGTTCGCTGCTCGTTCTACGTCATGGTGCTACGTCCCTTAGGACTTCGCTAGTGGGATATCACTCGTGACCCCCAGGTCACACGCCAGAGAGATCAAAATAATTTGCTCCAATCACCAGCGACCCTCCTCTATAAAGGCCCCTGCACAAGGCCGCACCCCCTCTTTCACTCTGGCGCCGATTGAGATCTACCACAGTACTCACTTCATTCCAGAGAAAAGATGTCTTCTGCTGTTCGTCCGAGTTCCCCTTCGCCCTCCGGCGTCGGACGTCGTCGTTGCTCGACGTGTCGAGTCAGGCTCCAGCGCACGGACCAGCACTCCAGCTGCTTCATGTGCCTGGGCCCGGGCCATGCGGCGTTGAGCGCCAGCTGCGCCTCGTGTCTCGCTCTCCCCAGGGAGGAGAGCGAACGCAGGCGTGCGTACCTCGCCGCTGCAGCGCCCCGTCCGGACTCCTCTCAGGACGAGGAGTTTGAGACTGACTGGGCCCCACTCGACCTTCCACCCGTGCCCGCGGAGTGGGGTGACTGCGAAGATGGAGAGGCTTCGG